GTGGGAAAGAGATAATGCATGTAAAATTATTTTTTGTTTCACTAACTTCAACTGACCCTTCTCGAATCTTGTATCATAATATAATAAGTAGTACATCGTGCAATTAAATAATTGATAAAATACTTTGATTTTATCAAATTAAAACGTAACAACAATATTATTGTTTTTTTTTGTTAGACTGTGCTGCAACAGAGTAAAAATTTGGTTTCGTGCATTCAGATTCTATGGACCACAGAGTGATAGGCTTTTTATCCCATTAAGTCAAGCTATTCTCATGGGATAACCTGGTATAAAAATCAAGACGTGCTACGAGATCACTAGTAGGTACTACAGAATTTGCATAAACATTCATAAGTGTAAATCTAATTAGCTATATCGCTGAAGACTCCGTTGCAGTCTAATAAAATAAATAAACGACGTCTAAGTCCCATCTTGAAGTCCGAATTCGAGATGCAGAGCGCAATATAATAATTATGCAAATCCCAGTATGTTAATTGCATATTGTCGCAACAATACCAGGTAAGAACTTGGCTCCTAATCCAACAAACGGTCGAAAAGTGCTAAGCGATTTTTATCCTTATTTTAAGGTATTTAAGCTTATAATAGGTAAATGCTTTTAATTATATTACAGTGTTTACTTTGATAATATTTTGCGAAGTTTCTTAACTGAAGTTTAGTAATTTTAATGGGAAATTTTATGCACGTATGAGCGTCAACTATATTTCTGACTAGCGACTCACCCTCGCTTCGTTCGGGTTCGTCCCTAGGTTGATTCCCCATACAAACTTTCATCCCCATTTTCACCTCCTTAAGTGATGATTTCTGGGATAAAAAGTATCCTATGTCCTTTCCAGAGTCTCAAACTATCTTTTTACCAAATTTCATTTAAATCGGGCCCGTAGATCCAGAGATTACCCCCTAAAACGTCACAATCTCACAATTCATAAACTCACAAACTTTACCTCTTTATAATATTAGTACAGACATGTAATCCATATTTCTGAGTTTCTTTAGGCAGTTCTTATCAGGGCTTAGGCGGTTTTTCCTGAACTACTCCTAGACTAATAAACGTTGGGTGTATTCCTAAAATATCAGTATTAATTAAAATGTTTGAAGTTGTATACATTAAAATATTTTTCAACATTTTTTATCAAATTTTTACACGCCAGTTACTGTTAGAAATCAAAAAGTGAAAGTACAATTTATTATTGTCATTTTGTAAGGACATTGCATCTTTCTTAATTATTTAATCTTATTTTTCATGTTTACAAAGAAAATAATATACAAGTTGATAGTTCTGTAGATTAGTGCGAAAATTGTTGAAATTTTGGACCTCTTAGTGCGAGTGTCTTAGGAGTAAATAAAAGAGTATTTTTTTTTAAATATTAAACAAATGAAATAAAATAACTAAGTTCAAATTGAATTATGGTTGTTACCCCCGACGCAAATACGACAGGGTGTTATAAGTTTGAAATATCTGTGTGTGTCTGTGTGTGGCATCGTAGCTTCCGAACAGATGAACCGATATTGATTTTTTTTATTTTGTTTAAAAGATGTATTACTCGTGTTTTTAGATATGTTTTATGTAAATCGGTCCAAGATAGTCGGTTTTTTTTTTATTTTTAATTTAATTTAGTTATTAAATAGACACCTGAGTAATTTGTGGTAATTTTTACCCGGTAGCGACTGTTTGTGTTCGTACACTAGCGACAAACGCCGGGACTTTGATGGTTTATTATGTATTCAGCCTTTTTTATCGTCCCACTGCTGGGCACGGGCCTCCCTTCAGTACGAGGGGAATCAGGCCATAGTCCACCACGCTGGCCAAGTGCGGGTTGGCGGACTTCACATGTCTTTCGAAAACTTGCTAAGTTCTCTCAGACATGCAGGTTTCCTCACGATGTTTTCCTTCACCGTAAGGCAAGTGGTAATCATGTTAGAAATGATTCGCACATGAAAATATCAGAGGTGCGAGGCCCGAGTTTTGAACCCGCTTCTCGTTTCTCAAGCGAGCGCGTTACCACTGGGCTACCACTGCCTTGGTTTATTATAAATATCAAAAAATTAATTAATCTTGCGAGTTATTAGATAAGGATTATATTAAAAATGGAAAATTGGTGATTCAAAAGTAATTGTATTAGTATATTTGAATAAAGTATATATATTTTGATTTGATTTGTTATTTGTTTATCATACAGGACTAATTTTTGTTATAGTTTGCCCTACATATTGAACGCCGTCTTGTTTAGCGAGAATCCGAAGAACATCTGTTTGATGCTAATTGAGTAAATCTAAAAACATACATTTAGACATCAAAAGATAAAATAAAAAGAAAATTCTATGCTATATTTATTTAAGTCGGAAAGGGTTAAAATTAGTTGCAAAGTTATTTTTAAGATAATTTTTTTTCCTTTACCTATCTTTATATTTATGGTCTTTCACAACTAAAGAAATACGTTGGTAATGAAATTAAGAACATAGTTATGCATTTGTAATAGACTAGCGTTACCTGCGGCTCCGCCCGTACTTAGTATTCAACGTGACGTTTGCTCTAGAAATCATAGACGCATGGAGTCAAAGTGCTAAATACTTCTTAAAAGACAACACCTCGTCTTATAGCCTCTACTGGTGACAGGAGAGATGGCTCGACAAGAAATCGGTACTGCCATTCTACGGGGGCATGCGGCTAGCATTCTTGTCACAATTCATGCCTTGTATAGTAATAATTAAATTTATATTTTTATTTTGTATATATAATTAAGTATATTTGTAATTTCCTCTGTTGTAAATATTTTTTTAAATATAAATTAATATCCTATTACCAAGATAACCTAACGATTTTTAATCATTTTCGTAAAATTATACCGTAATTATTGCAGTGACACTAACAATATTTATCAACGATTTATTATTATACAAAATGGATGACAGAAGTGATTCGAACTACACGAGAATCCTTTTAACTTCGGTCTGATTTGGCAACTGAAATAAACAAATGTGTTGTGAAAAGTGCAAAATTCATTACGCGTGTGGCTTATTTGTTGTTTTTATTAGATTTTATAATGAAATTTTCAAAAGTCATTACATTCAGCCTCAAAATGACTTCAAAATGAAAGTACAATATAAAATACAATTAATTATGATAAAGTTGAAAATTTAAGGAAAACGACTTTTTTTTATTCTGTGTTCCAAGTCTTAGAAATACATTTTTTTTTAATTAAATTATACGTATTGAGAATGTAGATAAAAGAAATGGATGCTAAATTATATCCCAGCAAATGCAAAGTGTTCTCGTGGTATAGTAAAATGAAGCTCAGGACACAGGATAATCTTACAAGTGAAACCGAAACGTTGTTATATGTATATGTTGCAGGATGATTTGAATATTCGAATTTTCCCAAAATACCTAGGAATATCGTGAAAACACGGATAATTAGACAATGGTGAAAACATTCCTCTATCTTACTGGAAAAAAATAGGGTTTTTGTAAAAACATGTTCTAACCTAACCAACCTAGAAAGAAAGAAAGGGTTGTTCTGAGTAAGATGTAGCTCCCGCCTTAGCCTTTTCTTCTTAGCCTTCTCAACCTACGTTATCCAAGTCGGAACTGTCACGTTATCAAAAAATAAAACTTACGTAACCATTGTCCCACAATCCGTGTTTTTGCAATGTCCCTAGGGTTTTCACTAAAATTCTAATTATCAAATCATCCTACGACATATCGACTGGTCCTACGTATACTAGTATAACCGACAAAATCATGAAAACTGTTTTTTTGCATCAATAGCTTTAGAATAACCTATATTTTATACCCTGTGAAATTTATTTTAAAATATCAATAAATTTCAAAGTTACAAACTTGTCATTTGGTGCAAGTGACGGTATTTTAAACTACACGACTGTCAACATTGATGCAAGTCGCTTGCACTAATGTAGATGGTTACAATCCACGCGGCACAAGCGTGTAAGTGAGCTTTACATCAGTATACACGTGGCGCCGCTACAGAGTTAACGTGTTACATTGGTACAAATGCAATGATTTCAGGTTTATTTATGCAATTGTTAAAAATTACTTATTTTTATAAGGTTTATGTTTATGTTGAATTACTGTGATAATAAATAATAATCATGAAGCTATGAAATGATACATTTAGTAGAAAAAAAATGCAGCAAAACTAAAACACTCGAAAATTTCGAAGGTAAGAATCAATTTATTATTTTCAACACAGAAATGATTAATTAAGATTTAATTTAATTGTTTGTGACTGTTTTATAAATTTAATAATGTACAGTTTATTTATATTCTCACTTGCACTAGTAGACAAAGTACGTATTCTATTTTGTGTACTCGCGTATATTGGTGCAAGTGATTTTTTTACGGTAATTTATTTATTAATAGTATAAACTTTTTTTAAATGCATTAATACATTTTTTTGAATTGGATTTTAGAACCACTTAAATTATCAATATGCAGACCTTGGAAGGAATTACAGCTAAATTTGGAAAAAAAGAATATGTACCGAATTAGAGGACCGGTTGATTTCAATGAAAATCTACAATTCGCGAATGAAAACTTATCACATAAGCCAGATAAAAATGTTATACTACATATGTAAAATGTTATTTTTTTGTTTGTGAATTCCCTTTGTCTAATTTTGCATTTATATCAGTATACACGGTTTGATTTGATGATTTTTGCAAATGTTTTATAAGTATAATGATATAAGTTACATTAGTCACCAACATTTTTGACATGAGTGGGATTCAATTAAAATACATAAATATTTTACAACATTAAGTAAATGTTAGGAATGAACTACATTATTATGAAATATATGTTTTTAAAGAACTTTGTTTTATTTACGTATTATAAAAATCCTAGTATTATTTACGCTGAAAACTTTCCCTTAAAAACTAATTATTAGTATTTTAAATGCATTTATATCATATGTTTTTTAGATTCTCCCTTCCCTCCGAGTGCGGAATTATTTACTGAAGAAATGTCGTTCATCAATACTGTTGTTAATTTAAACAATCCAGAAGACTTTTTGGAGGAAACACCAACAGTTGAAAATTTATATCGAAATTTATCAAACAATTCGTCAGATTCTGAGAGTTCTACTACATGTTTTAAGGACCAGGAAGTTTGTGTGATCGTTCATAATACACAAGAAAGAAAGCGTGAACCACAGCTTTTATCTTCACATCAAAATCTTATTACTGGATTAAGTGTATCTAAGCAGGAAAAACTTCCTGAAGATGATATTGAGAGCTTCATACCTATACCTTTACCATCAGTTTCTTTTTTATCAGCCTATCAACAAACTGAAAGCGAGTTTGATTGTTTTCCTTTAAATTCAGATTACACTGATACACCGCTAAGTAGTCCGACAAATGTAAAGAAAAAAAAAACAAAAAAAGAAAGATAAGGGCAGATTACGAGAAAGATACCAAAGCAGGTGGCTAGATGAGAAACGAAAATACAACTTAAACAGAGGCTTAGAATATATAAGTAGGACTGGAAAAATAACTAAACAGAAAGAAATGAAAGCTCCTAGTAAATATCCTAGAAAATATGCTGAAAAAGTGGAAGAAATGGCAAGGTACGATATATTTAACAATTTTTGGACAAAAAATATCTAAGGATGATAAAACTGTAGTCGCTGTTACTTTCGATTTGCCAAAAATACAAAACTTACCACATGGCAATGTTAGCATATTTTATTATAAGAGAAAAGTACATTTTCATAATTTTACCCCATTTGACACGAGTGATCTGCAAGGGTATTGTTATTGTTGGGATTAACAAATTGCGAAAAAAGGAGCTGTATGTGTTTTTGATTTTATTGGTATGAGGGTGAGGGAAGGAGTTAAAAGTTTTATATTCTGGTCTGAAAATAGTGGAGGCCAGAATAGAAATAGAATGGTTCTTCTCTTGGAAATTTAACGTGAATATTACTAATAGATTTCTTGTTGTTGGTCACATCCAGAACGAGGGTGACAGTATTCACTCCGTAATAGAAAAGAAAACCAGAAATGTTTTGATTTATACTCCAGATCAATGGTCTCTTGCCTTCAAAATGGCCACGGCTAATGCAAAACCATACATAGTAAAAGAAGTTACTCAATCTTTAATTTTTGATTTTAAGTCGTGTCTTACCTTTTTTGATAACTGGAAGAAGAACTGTATTGGAGAGCTTGTGATAAGGAATAAAATTTGTGAGGTTAATGTTCAGGCCAAAGATTTATTTAAGCTCAATTACAAATATACTTTTGAAAAAGATGCCTATAAAGCTACACAATGTGTAAGAAGTAACACACGAACCGCCATACAAAATGTTACTAAAAAATTTGATAGTTTAGATGTAGCTTACAAAAGCTTATTAGCAATTGGTAAAAAAATGCAAAGATCTTCCAGATCTTTGTATTTCGACTGTAATGCCTGAGCGATAGCATTTATATTATAAGAATTTGAAAATTAGATCCGAGAATACTGGAGACCTATCTGACTAGGCTATATTTATCAGCCTTTCTCTTTTTTGTATTTTATTCCTAACACCGCTTCGATTGTTGTTTTATTTTACTTAATTAGGTGACTAAGCGATATTTTATTTTAATTAGCCAGAAAAGCCAATAATTAAAGAGTTACTAAACGAATAATTAATTTAACGATCGTTCCTACTTAAGAAGGACTTGGTTTTCTTTTCGTTTTAGTAAAATAATAAAGTTTTATTTTTATTATTTAGAAAATGCGTTTGTTTCTTTTTATATTTTTAATAACTTTGTTACTAGATATTAATAATATTTGAAAGACTAATTAAATACTAATAAATATTTACTGCCCTAATAACTAGGTACCTCATATTACAGTTGACGATAGTTCCTACCTCCTAAGAATAATTGTTTCTTTTTTATTTTTTATTCCAAAATGGTAAAACCATTAATTTGTTTGGTTATCATATTATTTGTAATAAACCTTTATTTTTTTTAATATTTTGGTTTTATTTCCCGTAAACCTAATGAAATTTATGACTAGAGTATTACATAGAAAAGTGATACAAGTAGTTTTCAGTACTTAGTAAAGTGGTGCAAGTGATAAAAATTGATAAAGATCATTATTTTTAATATCACGAGCTTCAATTATTTATCAGTAACCACGGATATGCATATGTTATATTGATTCGTCCTTCTATTTGCCTTGGTTTGCAAAAAAATTAGTACACGTATACTGATATAAGTGATCACTTGTACTACTTTATGTGTTTTAATATTTAAGGAAGAATAGGCTACGCAAATACAACTGACCCGATTTTCTAAAATAACAAAAAATATTAAAATTTAATTACACAGCCCTTTTCCTATAATACTCAGGTATTACATTTCAAGATTTCAAAGATTTCTGTTGAACTATGTCAAAGTTACAAGCTTTAGAATCTTTGAATCGCTCTCCTGTAAAGTTGCTTTTTTGCACTTGTACTAGTATACGTAGGACCAGTCGATATATACCATATACATATGTGTATGTTTGTTACTATTTCATCGTAAACGACTGGACGTATATCGATTGAATTTAGTGTAGAGATACACTATCATCTGGTATAACAAATATTAAAATAATATAATTTGGTACATAATGGCTGTACATAATATTAGCAGAACCCGCGGCCTTGCTTGCGTTAAAACTATAAAAAAACAAATTCTTTGGATTTTTGTAATAAGTAGGTAATTATTACAGAAACACTCTCGCTCCCCCGCACGACCTGTGCCACCTTCGCACCATGCACCCGTCTACCATGCCGTGTAGGATTTTCGAAGCCCTATATGACTCTTTTGGAGGATGATTTTGGAATAACTGTGATATAAGTACGTGTCTAACAACTTTAAATAAATTGAAGAGTATGTGTACAAAAATTTCGAGTCAATTGACCCAGAGAGTAAGAAGTTTCACCGAAAATTCAATCCCCCATTTCACCTTATTAGGGGTGGAATTTCAAAAAACACTTTCTTAGTGGATAGCAACACTACACAAAGAATACACTCAAAATTTCATTTCTCTAGGACTAGCAATTTAGACTGTGCGTTGATATATCTGTCAGTCAGTCAGGACTTTGAATTTTTTATATACTCGTATTAATAATACAAAAGGCACCTAAAGATGCATCCGATCGAATCAAGGTTAAGTCACTTACTACGTATACTTAACAAGTAGGTAATTAACTTTAAAAATAAATAATAATAAATATGTTAGGGACAGTAACACACATCACCATCTAGTTCCATAGTAAGCTACGAGACTTGTGTTATTGATACCAGATAGTTGATTCACTACACATATATAACTTTTAAATACATACATATTGTAAATATATAAACACCCATGACTGGGGTACAAACATTCGTGCTCATCTCACAACTGAATGCCCCCAGCGGGACTCAAACCCGCGACCGCTGGCGCAGCAAGTCGGGTCACTACAAACTTAGCCAAACGTGTCGTCGATATAATAATGATATAATAACGAGGTTTTAGATATCAGATTAATGTCAGCATTCATGCTTTACAGCACCGCCAAGTGTATCATAAAACGGCTTTCAACTCCGCCGACTCAATTATTTCTGGATTAAGTGCAGCGAAGATTCCAGAATAACACCGCAGAGGTAATCCCATTAATATTATTATTTTAAACGTAACTGTAGCTGTTATGATGTACGTACCTTTAGGTGCCTAATAAAGGAAGTTCAAAGTAATTTCATCCTTATGAAAACGGCATAAGGGTGAAAATCAGAGTAATGTTTGCAGGGTTGCCATAAATTTAACGTTTACCTTTTATAGGAAACATGTCATCTTTTATTTATATTATAGCTTTTGCTAACAATTTAATATGTGATCGTAAATTCGAATGCTTAAAAGGCATCAAAATAGAAACATTTAAGAAGTTATAAGATAAAATTTTGGTAAAATTATAGGTAAATCTACTAATATATAACAAAGTCAGGTTTGTTACAACACTTATAACTCGAGAACTGCTGGACCGATTTTTATGATCTTTGTTTTGTTGTATTTGTATTCATTCGAAATAGCAAAATAAGTATTAAAACTTAAGAAAATTCACGTAAAAACAATTTAAATTTATATGGCTAACGCTGGCTGATAACTATTTATATCTATTTAAAACGTACCTAGAGACGAACCCGAAAGAATCGAGGGTGAGCCGCTAGTGCGTATAAATGGTATAAAAAGTATAATGGTGGTGTATTTTTGGCCTTTGTTATGTTTCTTTGTAATTGTTTAATTTTTGCTATACCACATTTTGATTACAATGTAATTGTAGTGCTCACACTGGCGGACGTTTCTAAAATACTATTGATAGCGACAGATGTTACGTGGTTTGCATCGAACACTACGATATTTATTAGTCTAAATACATAAGTAATTTAATCATATGTATCGTCTTAAAAGGCAGTGGTAGCCCAGTTGTGATGCGCTCTCTTGGGAAACCAAGTGAAGCGGATTCAAATCCCGGGTATTGCACCTCTAATATTTTCATACGCGAATCATTCTCCAACATTACCTTACATTTACCATACACCATCAGGCTTCTTTGATCAATATACAAAAAAAAAATCACAATAAAGAATTATAAAAGGCGTAAGATGAGAAAACTATCTTGCAAACTTGTAACATCTCATTAACAATGTTAAACAAACTAGGTAAATTTAAAGTTTCAAGAACTTGTCAAACTTGAAGGGAAAAGTTTGAAACCTTTTGTAAGATTATCAGACGTTGGTCTTTTTTTGCGAAATAATAAACATTAGTAAAATATGCTTGAGATAATGAGCGTTGGAGAAGCTGTGGAGATTTCCTAGACATGGAGTTCGTTGTAGAAAAAAGTTTATTGCAATTATAATGGGATACAAGTCAAAAATTATACTAATACTAGCAGCTCACCCTCGCTTCGCTCGGGTTTGTCGCTAGGTACGTTTTAAATAGATATAAATAGTTATTAGCCAGCGTTAGCCATATAAATTTAAGTTTTATTTTTCGTTAATTTTTCATTAGGAACATACGAAAAAAAAATTAGCCGAATTGGTCCAGCCATTCTAGAGTTATGCGCTTACCAACATTCATTTTTACTTATATAGATAGATAAGATTTTGATTACTTATAAGTTATGTTTGTGGTTTGTCAACCAGTACTACATTTTTTTTACATATTTTACTTACTTATTTTTTAAATTTTAATTTAAATAGTGTTATTTTTATATTGAATCTAATCTATATTAATATATTATATAAAACATCGTTGCTGTACGCGAAACTTTTTATTTTTATTTTTCTGTGCAAAAATTAAAAAAAATGTTTAATGTAATGACATTAGTTCATGGCACATCTCACCATCCATATTATACACGTACTTAAATCGAACTTACAACTACCTTTAAGTATAGCAAATCAGACATACTTCTAGTTCACAACAAATTCTTTACTATAATGAGTTGACTTAATTACCATTTATGCAAACAATACAGAATAGCAACACGAATAGAACCTCACTTGTTCCTTTTTCACTCTTTCATAATTTCTTTGTAACTTTACCAGCTGTTTTACGTCTCTATATTAACCTTCATTAGAATTTAAACCCTAAATACCTAATATATAGCATTCATAATCGTTTAACATATATTTTCCATTTAAATGTAACGTAAATTCAGTGAATCCCGGTCCCGGGATTAGTTCCCCACTTAAGTTGGTCGGTTGTTGGGATTCAGTGATAAACGAGTCCCGCAGACGATAGTTGCGAGTTATGGACATGTTATACCATCAACTTGATACATTGAAGCTACTAAAGTCGAAATGCTGTTGACTACATTAATTAAATTTATTTTAATTCATGTAATATCAGTTTTAAATAAGTTAGTTATGTTTTTCGAATTAGAGCCAAAGAGGAAAGTGATTTTTTTTGGTAAATTACTTTAAGCTATACACATGAATAAAATTGAAGTGTCTGTTTGTAATGACAAAATAATAGCTTTTTACTAAATGCATATGAAATACTTATAAGAAAAACACATATTTTTTTGTCTGTCTGTCTGTTTGTTCCGGCTAATCTCCGAAACGGCTGGACTGATTTTGACATGACTTCCATTGGCAGATAGCTGATGTTATAAGAAATAGTTTTAAAAAAATTGGCTTCTGATAAAAAAAAATAAACCGTACCTAGGGACGGACCCGAGCAAAGCGAGGTCAAGTCGCTAGTTATGTATAAGTTAGTTAGACTTCAATAAAATTGAAGTGATTGAAATACTTAAAAAAAAAGACTTTTTTTTAATTTTTGTCTGTCTGTCTGTCTGTTTGTTCCGGCTAATCTCAGAAACGGCTTAACTGATTTGGGTGACGTTTTCCATTATGTATTGTGGTAAGCCTCACTTAACACTTAGTATTTGTT